TAGGCAATTTAAAAATGAGCTCGGTGCCGAAGTTGCTGGAGTCCAAACGGCATTAGCCCACTTTCCGCACTTCTGCATTTTCCGCATTTCTGCATTTCTTCACGAACGCAAGCTATGAAGCGGCCTAAGTCTTTTTGGCGAAGGGTTACAGAGACGCGAACGAGTGGTCCTCTTCCCCCGGGGATGTTAACATCCACCTAATCGTACTATCTGGTACCCTCCTATACTCCTGCTCTCCAAAGCAGGGGCCGATCAATACTGTCTATTGCTAAGTTGCCGCCTAAATTGTTGCAGCGCCTTTGCAACTTCAGCGCTTCGTCGCAAAGTCTGAATGCGGCGTTGTTCCTGTGCACGGGCGCCATTTGGCGCCACCACCGCTTACCACATGCTATTTGGTGGAAAACAGAACTGAACCTCGTCTTTGTAATCAAGATACTTGGATTACGTGACTTTTTGGACTTTTTTTTGCATTGGCCTGTCACGAAACGCTATGGTGCAAACAGATAGACGACGATGGCTGCCAGAGCATTGAAAGTTGCGAACGAACATATGACGAGCCAGGGCATGAGCGTCGTAATAGGGAGGGGCTTCGCGGTGTGACGTCACAGCGATCAAAACGCTATATAGACAAGAGGGCGCAAACAGGAGCAGAAAATTAGTAATGGAGTTGAGTTCAAGCTGTGCTTGACTGGACTCATTAGCTCTAAATAAAAAGTTTCAGCGAAAAGCGAATCCTTACACTTGAACGTGGTAATCGTTATAAGTGCCTCGCTTCTGATACTTTGTTTTTTTGTGATCTCTTTATATTGTGAGATTTGTTGGAATACGAACATGGTCCATCTTTCAGCAAGTAGATGGCGAAAAGAAGAAAGGTCATAAAGGAAAGAAACACGAGCCTGAAGAGCAGCCGTCTGTGGTGAGAATGCCATTTATTGTTTGTCATTTTAATGCCTTTACGTTTTTTTTTACATTTGCAGCTGTTTTTTTTTATTATTTACTGTTGAGTTTCTCGGCACCTGGCATCCCTATTTCACTGTTTCACCCATTATTTCTGGTCGCGGGCTCTTCCCTTGGGCAACCATGGCGATTTAGAAAAATCTTCCCAAAACGCCTCACCCTCTCCACCCTCCTCTCTTTAGATTCAAGGAGTGAAAGGAAGAACAGACAACTGACCAGCTATCAGAAATAGTATAGTTGCGAACCGCTGGTAAGGGGCGATTGAAACAGGACAAATCAACTGCCAAAAAAATCTTACAAGGCGAGACACGACATTCTTCCTGCCCTCCCAGCTCAATACGGTCTTGTTGTTATGTTTAAGAATCTCCAAAGTACGCCATGCGGTTACAGTTAGTGGAGGCGGCGTTGAGCGAGACTGACTGAGACTGTATGTACTCTGCTCATCTGCACTCTAAGGCTAAGATTGTTAGGTAAAGGATTACTGGGTTAGTCTCTCTGCCACAAGCGCCAGACATTCGTATGAAATGGGCAAAACAGATATAAAATAAATATTTGAAATAAAATCATGGAATGTCATGATTCATATCTATTTTATGCCATAATTAAGGAGGCCACGGTGGAAGCCGAACAAAAGGACAGCAATGGACACCATGAGCACACCAAGGAAAAACATGAGACCGAGCAGGTGCGCTGTAACCGATAACTTTCAAAGTAAATGTAAAATATGATGTCCTGTATGCATAAGATACGCTCGTGTCCATGTTTCATGGATGTGGAATATTATCGCTTTTGGCGAATCCGCGAATCGGGGAAGCGTGTCAGAATATTAGCTGGAGATTGATTGGGCACTATTTACCATTTACTG